AATTGTTTTGAAGTAGCAAACGCTGTACTGGAAGACATACTTTTAGTATCATCATACCTTACGCCAAAGGCATTTGATTTTCCTGTTATGATATATGTTAAACGGATTTGGTCCAAATCAATGATGTGTATTAATGCATGCAACATCACAGCTGGATTTCAAGAGGATGGCATAATATGTAATAAACGATATAAAATAGACTTGAGTTGTTCTTGAGGAATTCCCAAGATGAATGCCTTCCTTCTTGAGTTGTCCTCAATGTCAGTTCTGTCTCCTTGGACAAAGTTGACATTTTGAATCGTGGGCGTCAATAGTTCTCTAAGTAAATGCTGGGGGTGAGCGATCGTAATTTTTTAAACACATGACCTCCCTAACAGCTACCTACATAACACATTCAGCCACTGGAACGGGGAGGAATACGTCCATAAAAAAAGGTTGTGTTTATTTCCTTCCTTATGCCCCCAATTAACATCAATCTAACATAAGGCAACTGTAAGATTTTTATGAGCAATAGTAAGAGGTTTATAACTTGAATCGGTGACATGAACCGTGCACATTCTAGTGGCAGTGCATGCACGATAGAGGGTTGAGGGTAGTTAGCCTCTACCATACAGGCACAATTTAATTAGGTTGCACTTGGCTATTAATAGCAATTGTACATGCCGACTGCGTGCAAATGTTCAGGTGGCTGCTGTCAGAAAGGCATACATGTAGCAGTCAGTAAATGGTACAATCTTCCTGCCAAGAAACTTATTCAACGCTTGGGAAATTGTTTTCCTGTACTGTGCAGACAGAGACATAATTAGCACTACAAAAAAGTGACAGCTATTGGTCACATAATGAAACTATACGATACACCGAATTTCCCACAAACAATGATAATGAAAGATAACCGTGCAGTACGCGACATATTGTTTCCAGGTGTTGAAAATAAATATTAGATTCAAAAATTTCTGGATAAAAGTTTTAAACGGGAAATGTGCGACTCTATATGTCTCACTGAAGGTTGACTGCTGTGTGCAAGATGCCGGTTAGCTCAAGGATTGAATCCACTCTACTATATATGATATGATATGAATCTTTATTGCATGTTCTTGCCCAGATGGGCTAAATGCACAAGAGGGTATGCAGTATGCAAAAGCATGAGCATTTCATACTGGTACGCTATATTCTAATGCAAAGTGCTAAGAATCTATACAATACAACAATACTATATACTACCTATCATCTACTGTTAGTTGCCCTTTCTTCTCTCTTTTTGAAACATTTGGAAACATAATTACATAGTTTGTCTACTGTACATTCGTTCTTGCATGATATCAAAAAATGATAGTATGATGATATTCATCGATGCATCGCAAAAAAAACAGCACACATACATACACGATCGTGGACAATAGTATGTGTAGACTTTAGAAGTTCAACCTTAGATATATTGACGTTGTCGTCTGCACTTAAAGCAACGACTCTAATGGAGGCTACTGATCCTTAGCTGGCATAGGCCTGTCTAAAACATAACCATATATCATGATTCAAAGTCGTATATTATAAAAGCAATTGCAATGGAATCTAATGCCAGTATAAGACTACTCGGGCACAGTCATATATCAAGGCAATTACAAAGAAAACGAGAGCAAGGGTAATGCCACAGGGACGCGACTCGGGATCCAATATACCATATGTAATTCTTACAGTATCATTCTAGCCGTGGTTCTAAACATTACTACTTTTTAGTGTGATTCTGAAGAGAGATATGCTGCTAAGAGCCCCCATACATCAGCTTTGTCTACCTGGGAATAATGGACTCATTTTTCATGCTGGTATCTTAATGCTAAGTCCATTTGCAGTAAGCCGCCCATGGAAATGCTTTTTTTTCCTTATCGCTGATGCATGATATACCATGTGCATGTACATGTCGCTGAAGATGTGCAATATCGTGGCAAAGGCCCAACTTAGAAGCTACAGGCACCCACGTCAGAAACTTTATGGGCAATTCTAACCGTGTCAGTCTGGTAACGTTTTCGAAGTTTTGTACATATACAACAACTGGTATCTGAAGAGACTAAGACACAACTTTAGCTATATCAAAGTATATGAATGTACGAAAGCATCGACGACATTACTATAACATTAGTATATCGTTCCGGCATTGTTCGTTCAAAACTCTTTGTTTTAACAATATCGTCACCTCTCTTGGCACAAGGTACGTCTGATTCAAAGATAATTCGACCCTTTTAGGATATCGACATTATATACACAGTTATTTCCTTCTCTGTATTTAGGTTGCCATTAAAAGGTATCAGCAAAGCCCAATGCGCTAATCTTCTATCCCAGTACACCGACCAAACTGCACTCACCATGTTGCTAATGCAAAATAAAAGCCTAAAGTATGAGACTGGAATATAAAATACCCTTGTCATATTCAGAAGCAAAGTCGATACATATTTCAATATATCCTTTCATCTTTGTGAAATACATGATTAGTAAATTATGAATTAAAATAGTAATATAATTACGCTAGGAAACATATGACATTCTTGAAAAGGCCTCGATAGCCATACATTTGAAGATGACAAGGTCAAAGTTTTATGGTCCCTTATCCGGACATTGGGGCGCCCTGTGGGAATAAAATACCACCAGGTTTTTTTATTACACATAAAGAAACGTAACTCTTCGTTACTATGCTGTCGCTCTGGGATGAATTTTGAGTGCTTTTATGATTTTGTAACGTCTGTAGCCAAGAAAGTAACGTCACCAGCTGCAAGTATTGCATAAATGCAAGTTTATGCCTGGTCTCTTTTTGGTGGGTTTATGTATTTCTTGCTGTAACACACACTCCTTTTGCTGTGTTTTACTCTCCAAGCAGAGGTTTGGGTCTTGGGTTATTTTTGGCGTGTTTTTAAGCTTTTTCATCGGGGTTTCTATTTTGCAGTGGATTTTTTTCACAGTTAGGTTGGTTGAAAAAAAGGATAAAAACACCCCCAAAATAACCAATACCTCTGCTTGGAGAATACGATGTCAATATATTTCTATACTAGAATTAAGCAGGCCTACATAGACAATGAATTTGAATATGGCTTCCTTTTATACTGTGCGTAGCGTGTTTCAAATATATATTTGTTGTAGGTACTTCTAACAAAGGTTGTAATATGCAACTCTATTTGCCGCCATATGCTCCTCATCGTGTGCATATCGATTTGTCACATCATGACACATGTACTGGAGATTGAATAAGCATCAGAAGCCCGGAACAACATAGTTGTCGTAATATAATGCTGAAAACATTGATTTCATTTAAAAAATATGCAAACAGAGTTTGAGTCTTTCGGAAGACATCTGCATCAAACCAAATTCTATTTGTATTTCAAGGACAACCAAATAAGCCTTTCAAATCCTACCTACCTTGTATGGTTAGTATCACTGTATTGGACAGCACGCATTATACCAACTATAGCTACCTCGTAGCTTGAGCACTACCCAATAAAGTTTGCTACTACTAAAGTATGTACTTGATTTCATTTAGTTCATTTAGTTCAAATATTTGCACAATATCAATAGATTATGCACCATTATATTTACGTAAAACAGTATTCTTTTTTCTTAAAACAAACAATAATGTTTCCACGTTAAGGCCCGGTCACACTGGCGGAACTTTGCTGGAGCGTTGCTAGAACGGTGAATAAAATTCATCACCGCTCGAAACCGCTCACCACCGCTAAACAGAAGTTGGCCCCCGTTAAAGCAACGCCGTGTACGCCCGGCCACCGCTGACGTTTCTGGAGGGGCCCTCCTACCGCTCCGAAAGTTTTGAGCTGCACAAAATATTGCGAGCGGTGAGGAGGGGGGAATTTTCCGCTCAGGCAAAGTTCACCCCCGCTCCACCAACGCCCAGTCAAAGTTTGGCATCGCTAGACGCAAGTTCGTGGACGCTTGGGTCCGCTAGGCCAACGCAGAAATCTTGAACGCTTGACCACCGCTGCTTCGCCAGCGTTGCCCGGGCGGCGATTAAACGTTGCACAAACGTTGCACAAACTTCGCTGGAGCGGTTGCAAGCGTTTTACGAGCGGACACGGGGTTGATGGAACGGTGTCAGGCGTTGAAGCAGCGATCCATGTCGGCAATGAACTTTGGTTTGGCGTTGGTATAGAGGTGTCGGAGCGGGACCAGAATTTGGCTATAAGTACGGTGAGAAATGGACCAGGTGCTCATTTGGAATCGAGCTGCCGTTGAGTTCAGGCCTCATCTATATCGAATTTGCTCGAAGTTACAGTAAAACTGTATCACCCTGGATGCTGAGAGACTTGCTATGATTGGTGCACTAGTGTGCAATTATTTTGGGGCCACACGTAAAATGTTCAAAGAAGGGTCACACGGGCAATCACTTTATTGGGGTCACAGGGGAACTTTGCAATCTGCAAAGTTTTATTTTCATTATTAATTAAATAACGTAGTCAAGAATAGATTAACAAAGTGATGTTTATTAAAGCTATAAGTCCCCCCCACACACAGAACAGAACTTGTACTACTACAAAACGATCCGTTCAACTCCGTAGTCACAAGCGGTATGCCGCTAAACCGCATGCGCAGAACGCCGCTATACCAACGCTTGCGTCACCGCTATACCAACGTTCCCTACCGCTAAACCAACGCTAAAGCAACGTCGGCTTCAGCGGTACACCGCTAAGCCAACGCCCGTGTTTTCATTATTTCCCCCACATTTTGGGCGCGTTGACGAGCGTTGTCGAAATTCGGTCCCCGTCCCTACCGTTCAAGGAACGCTCCGGCAAAGTTCGCCCAGTGTGACCGGGCCTTTACATAACATTCTTACGATACTTTTTCCTTTCGAAAACAACCTGTAAAATGTTTACTTACTTTCATGACCGCCATGTTGTTTCCGTTGATTTGCATTTCAATGGAACGTAATTCGTCCAGTGTAGTCTTCTGGTATTTTTTTCTTTGCGATATGCATACTGAATGAATTTGTTGTGGTACTGTTACAGCATGCAACATGTTATCGACACCAGTGCCTGCTATACTCCGGACGTCATCAGGACCGACATTCTCTGCGCTCAGATCAGTCAGCAGCCGCTTCAATGTGCCTGGGATCGAGACCAGCTGGATGGCAGAGCGTGACGTCGACACATTCTTTGTCAGCTTGTTCCCAGAGTCATCACTCTTCGGCAAAGCTATTGTCGACTTAGTGAACAAGAACGGTTGGATGGATGTGGCATTAGTGTATGAGGACAAGAAAGGTAAATTTGCCCAGTTAAACATGTACATTCAGAAGTAAATGCTATTGAATGTTAAATCTACTTTAATGGCTTTTTCATGATTGCTAATCTTTTTAAAAAATCACACCAGAGTGTATTCTGTTCAAATTATATAATTGCGTAATCTCCAAGCAGAGGCAGTATCCATTGGCCACCTAGGTGGAGATTACCAAATCATATAATTTGAACAGAATACCCTCTGGTATGACTTTTTTAAAAATCGGTACCTAATGGACACTCATCTTTCCAATGGATACTGCCTTGCCACCGTATGACCTGCCAATTGGAGATTGATATTTATGTACAAATTATGACATTTTGTAATCTCTTTTCACACTCTAATCGTTTTTAATTGGGGTGTAGCTAAATCAAATAAGAAGGAAGACTAGAGAGGAGAAACAAGAATGAGTTTTAACTTTTTTTTTCTTTTTTACGTATCACAATTGTCCGCATTTTGTTCTCCAGCCTTAGTTCGTCTCCAGGAGCTGCTCAGTGCACCAGCCAAGCGGCGGCGGTTAAAAGTGATGGTGTACCAGGTAGAGAAGGGCGACTCTCGCAACGTGCTGAGGGAAATCCGAAATTCAGGAACAACCGAGATCGTTCTGGACCTAAGCACCTCTAGTTTGGAAACATTCCTACAACAGGTAATTTGTTTTTATCAACATCCACATACAATTGCGTACATATATTCTGTACGTAGGATGACGTTATCCACACATGTATCTACTAATAGCTTTGTTAGATCTTTAGTTGTAGAAGACCATACAAAAGTCCCTGTACTTTTTTGTTGTGTCAATAAAGAATCTCTATGTTTGAATCCATTATACAAAAAACCTACAACACTAGTACTCAAACAATGACAAGATTGCCACTCACGAAATTTAGTTGGAATGAAGCTTTCTTTTAGTTTTGTATTCTTGTATTCCATCAACGTAAGTATCAAGTGTCTTAATGCAGCTCTGTCAATGAAATACTGTTACACGATCACCGAACTGACGGTATGATATCTTCTGACCGTCTGACCGACAAACCAAATCTATGGTTAACAGTAGCAGCGGGTCCAGTTACAGAGAGCAAGTCTCCTGACACCAAATTGCCCGTAAAATTTATACCAATGTCGCGTCGGTAAGAAGTTCCCCGAATCTCCTGTTGAAGTTTGTCGCGTCTCTGTCTGGTTCCTGTGACTCTATAGTGAATCGATTCAGTACATAATCTTGAGTGCGAGACCTGGAGACGCCATGATGTCTTACCTGACAGATATATGTCGTCTTTAGTACGAGAAGTCATAACTGATGGCTTTCGAATGAATCGCATAATACCTTTGAAATTGAAGAGTTGATGTTTTACGTATCCCCTGCAAAACTATATAATTGTGCTAAAAACAAAAATGACCTTGGATTTGATAGTCAGTAGGAGACAGCTTCAACTAAATCCTTACATTTCTACCTGGAAAAAACATGTATGGCATGCATAGTTTTATTGCGTATCATTATGTGGTCGTTCCCTTAACTATTAGACAGTGAATAGCTGTAGAGTTACAAAGAAAATGTTATTCACAAATTGGTCGACCCCCCCCCCCAAAAAAAACTTACAACTTAAATGTTGATTTTGAGATTATTAGAATCACTAGAAATGATTCAAGCATTTCTCCGAAGGTTCAATACTTTATTTTTTTGTTGTTTGTTTTCATATGAAAGATATTAAGAGGAACACAAACATGAAAAATCATGTAATGCATTGTTTTCATATACTACAGGCTGCCGATCCAAATATGGAGATGCTAAGCAAGTATTACCATTACATTGTGACGTCACTGGTGAGTAGCCTTTCGTCAAAATGAACAAAATGATAACTACTGATATATGTCTATCCTTTTTTCTTCTCTACGCAATAGAGCAATGCTATTATATAGCCTTTGATCACAAGTGTTGCGTAGCAAAAGCGTACTGTGTTTACTTTTGATCAATGGTCACCCCCATTGTTTTTATAACGCCACGTGTCAGCCATCCTGGAACCATCAGCTGAGGTCAAGCAAATAAAATCAATTGGCAGTGCAAACAAAATGTTCTTGCCATACAAACAAAAATTTTACAAATGGTTTGCTGTGATATTAAGTTCCCCTTTTTGTTAACAGGATATGGAAATAGTTCGACTGCCACCTCTGACTGAGGTCAACATCACGTCCTTTACTCTACTGGACAGGAGCCGGCCACAGGTCCAGACTATACTCAACAGATGGAGTGACTGGCAGAACAGTACAAGCCTGGACCCACTCAAACTGCCGGTAAATCCATTTTTATGCCCCTGGATTTAACGCGTAACTCCATTTACAATTTCTCATTATATAGTATAATCTAATGATGTGTATTCTATATAGACAAATGATGTAGGAAATGGTGCAAACTACTCCTCAATAAAGTTCAACGTACGCACGTGTATTGAGCTTGCAATTGGTTAGTACATTAGGTTTAAATGCTTATTTGCCATCCTTACCGTCCGCTACTTTGCTGAACGGTACCATGTCAGGTGAATTTCATTTCATACTACGGTAAGTATGAAAGCGGAGAGCCAAATCCCCGCATATAGCTGTCTGAGGAGAAGACAGACGGCTCATTTTTCCCCTACAAAAATCAATTTCCTGACCACCCAGTATACGACCTTACTCCAATGCATTTCCCCGATGGTGGCTTCGAAGTAATTCTACACGTCCCAGTCTACCTGGCTTTAGTGGTGTGTGGATACATATTCTTTCCAAAGGGCCCATTCTTTTGATTTCTAACTTTGTTTCTGGCAAGAATAGCATGTGTCAAAGAAATCAATTTATTTTCAACGTACACACTCCTTAGGAATAAGGTACGCAAACTGATCGGTCATCTGAGGAACGCTGCCATAATAGCTTGATGCCGTTTTATTTGCCATGTCTGTTTGATTGGAGCAGCGGCTGTTCGTCTTGCAGCATACAATTGGGGGTAAAGGGGAGGGTATACCAATGGCATCATTCTTATTACGACCATCTGATTTATTGCCATTTGCAGACAATCTAAACTTACTCTGTCGTTTTGTCGAACCACAGACGTCTGTGGCCCTTGTTTACGATGCCGTCTACGTTATCGCACACGCTCTCTCCAGCCTTCAGAGAAAGAAAAACATCCGTCTGGACCCCATTATGTGTGAGCTGGAAAATCCCTGGCCTCTTGGGAAGGCTTTCACAGCTGAATTGAAGAAGGTGGGTGGATCTGAATGCAGATTAACGCAAAGTACAGACAAATCACGACTAGCGCGCTGCCTGGCGATGATGATTGGTCATTACTTTTATTGTATCTGCTGTGGAACCTATTATAATAAGTCAGAATGCAATTTGTACTCCGTCATGCGTATATACCTGAAAATGTCGTTCAACCCTCTCCGAAATATTGCTCGATAAAACACCGAGATATTTCTGTCAGAAAATGTTTGGAATGAAATGCTAATATGGATACTAATTTTAGACATTTCTTTTAACAGCTGATGCAAGAAGAAAATGTTAATAAATTGAAATAGCTAGACAGTAAACTTTGTCATAGCGTAGTGATAAAGCTTTCCATTGTGTAAAACCACAATTGTAAAAGAAAAAGATGTAAAGACTAACATGATAGTAAAATCAAAGCCAAAGAACGACGCCGTGCTCCATCAATCTATAGGCATCAGATGGTTTTATCTACCTTCTATTTATAGCGTCTTTACAAAGAATTGTTTCAGCATACATCATAATAGCTTTTATGTAGGAGTCAATAGAAAGTTCCGTTAATATCACTCCATGCTGAGCTGGGTAGTTGGAATACATTACTGAGGTTGTCGTTTGCTGTATGGTATGTGCACACAACTTGTCCAAAACGTCCGAGTCACAAGATAAATGATAAAAGCGACGATCTAGAACGAAGGTATAGAAAAAGGAGAATAAAGGTGCTTGACCCGATGAGCTTTTATGGTTTGATCGAACGTGAGCTGGCAGGTCCGGGATTGTCCTTTTAAAGTTTTATAACCTTTACAAAAGCTGCAGCAATACGATGGACATTATAGTCATAAATTCCGTGCACTTAGCCGGCATGGAAGATTGTTTTGTATTTCGCTGATGTCTTGATTTGGAGTATTGCCTGACGGCCATTATCCTTGATCCTATAGGCAGCAGTAGTCTATAGTATATATGAATAACTGTGGAATGCTTGTATGTGATGTATTCTTGATGAATTTAAGATCTTATATCAAGATATATTTCACTTGCAACTGACAACTGGCTAAAAATCTTTGAAAACCTTTTCTCCAGGTCAGTATTCAGGGTCTGACGGGGCCAATAGGGTTTGACAAGGACGGCAGAAGGACGACTTTCCAACTGAACGTTATCAACGTACGGGAACAGTCAAAGGCACAAAAGGTACAAAGCAGCGATATTAGTAATTGTTATATTGATAACATGTTGAAAGATACATTCAATGTTATTGATAGATCATCATTTTTGATTGCACAGCATTAGCAAGTGTTGGATGTTTACATTTCACTCTTACTATGAAATGCACTGAGATTTTGTATAGGTGTATTTTGCACTAGAGATTTTAAGATTTCAAGATGAATTTATTTAAGAGAAAGAGGAATTTGGGATGGAATGGTCATTTTGGTTAGGTTACGGGTAGATAATCTTGATAAGAATTGACCTGTTTCTTTTCCTTTAGCTGGGTTTCTGGACACCTGACAAAGGTTTGAACATGACAGAAGAGAAGAAGGGAGCAGCATTGCTTCCAGGATCCCTCAGGAACCGCACGTTTACCGTCACCACAAGATTGGTAAGTTTTTAAGCTGTCGTAGCAAACAAAACCATTTTCATATTTTATAAAAAAAATGTATTGGCCCAACGGTGCTAAGCAGGAGGTATTATGTATAATTTATTGGCCCAGCAGTGCGATATCAAAATATTCACTGATGTACTGATGTCTTTATGCCGTTGCTCTAAGCATTGAACTAACACCATCTGCCAACAGGAACCGCCATTCGTGATGTTCAAACGGGACTGGACGTCAGGAGGAGATAATCTGTTCGAAGGTTACTGCATGGACCTTCTGGACGAGCTGTCAAAGATGCTGGGCTTCAAGTACAGGGTTTCACTGGTGCCGGACGCTAATTACGGCTTTGAGAACGAAGACGGCGTTTGGGATGGAATGGTGCGGGAGCTCATGGAACGAGTACGTAGATCTTTGCTGGCACCTTTTATACCATGCCGTAGCTAATTCAAATTCTTTAAAATATCGAAATACCATTCAGTTGGTAAATAAATCTATCTAGTGCTAGGTTGTAGACTAATATCTTAATAAAATGCTTTTAAAAACTATCCACTGTTATTGGCATTAAATTCATTTTTCTGCATCAATCTTGTCATTTACAATTATAGTCGGTCAAATGTATTATGTTATTTGTATATTTTGTATCCTTTTATTTTATAGTCCTGTAGGCAAATGTTCTTACTGTAATGAATTGTCTCTAGAGAGCCGACCTGGCTGTTGCTCCCTTCACCATCACCTCCAGTAGAGAAAGGGTCATCGATTTCTCCAAGCCGTTCATGAACGTAGGCATCAGCATCCTGTACAGGAAACCTCAGACAGAGGACAGGCTATTCGCCTTCCTCTCGCCGCTGTCTTACGACATCTGGCTGTACGTCCTTCTGGCGTATGTGGGCGTCAGCGGGGTTTTGTTCTTCGTCGCAAGATTTACCCCATACGAGTGGTAGGTAACAGAACTCAACACACACGTTTTAGAATTGTCTTCTGTAGCAATTTAAGTGACGCTTTCTCTGGTTCTCTATTATTTACTTTCCTAATACTTGAATGTTTATTGCAATTTCAACATATTAATTATATATTCAAGAACTATACTCCTGGGGTTTTGCTGTCCGGGAAAAGACTTAAAAGAATGGGAGTTGACAAAAAAGAGAATATACATATAAAATTTACTTTCCTGATACTTGAATGTTTATTGCAAAATCAACATATTAATTATCCACATATTCAAGCGCTATACTCCTGGGGTTTCGCCGTTCGGGAAAAGACTTAAAAGAATAACAGTTGAACAAAAAAAAAGAGAATACTTGACATGATTTTTTGCAGGATTAGCATCGACCCCTTCGAGTCTTTGCCAGCTATGGAGGAGAACCACTTCACTTTGATGAACAGCCTGTGGTTCGCTCTGGGTGCTTTAATGCAGCAAGGCTCAGATATGTGGTCACGGGCTGCCTCTACCAAGATGGTGAGTGGGTCTAGATTTCTCACGACGTCTAACTGCTCTTCTGATTCTATCATTCTATAGGTACGATCCGGATCCGTGTAACCCGGACTCTAATGTGGAGGAGAACAATTTCACACTTCTGAACAGTTTCTGGTACAACATTGGTGCCTTCATGCAACAGGGTTCTGAATCCTTGCCAAGAGCAGTCTCCACTCGGACCGTGAGTTCGATGAGTGACCACTGGCATGGAAATAAATGACTGTCTCATCTGCATGGCCTGTGTTGCATGCTCTCTTGCTTTCTCTTCTAACCCTGTCAGTTCTTTATGAACTTCACTCCATTCTCCACTGTGTCACAGGCTACAATTTACCGTACCTCTATCGATGCATGGTTCGTCCAAGTAAAGAAGCCAGCTGGCTGCTTCATGTTGTACCTTGTAAATCTGCCGATGTTTCACATTATGTCACCCGAGTCTTCATCCACGTCTTCAAAGTCTAGCCATTGAGAAAGTTCCACTGTAGGTCTTCCTGTCCTTGTTGAATGGATCTTGCAAATCTATGGATCTTTTCAGCTTTGATCTCTATCTACTGTATTATATAAGATTGTGTTTTTGTATAATTGTGTTTTATCTTTTAATCTAAAACGCCTAACGTAATAAATGAACGTGCAGCATATGTTTGATATCGTCGAAGATCATGAAATAATCCCTACATTAAGCCAACGTAAATAGTGTAAATAATGGCGTTCATTAAAAGCAAGCCATATGGTAAATCTTTATAATTTGGTGCAATCCGTCATTGTTATAAAAAAACTAACGGTAAATATTGCAATGACTATTTCCATAATACTGTTTCATCAAAAGATACTCATTTTAAATGATAGATGGGTTCATTTTGTTTGCGTTATTATGTATTTTGAAACAAAGATTCGCAAACATAGATTAGAATTTTAAATCATTAGTTAATATGAGCAGTAGAGCTGTAGGGCTTGACATTGGTACATAGTTACGAAGCAAACGGATAACGAATAGGAATCATTATGGTGTGTGTTCCACCCACGTATCATTAATATGGTATTACCGAACTTGATTAATTCCCCACATTTCCAGATAATTACGAGTGTTAGAAAATAACTAAATTATACCACACAGTGCGCTATCAACAATATGATACCAGCAACATAATGTAATACCAGCAACATAACATCCCTACCGAACGTGTACATTACGGTTGTTGTGTCAAATGTATTATGTATGCCTGCTGTCGATGTCTTCAATGTGCATGATCTGTTGCTTCGTTGATGATTGTATTTATGTTGTTGTTAAGTTTGACATATCTTCCCGCTAGGTGATGGGTTCCTGGTGGTTCTTCATGCTGATTATCATCTCGTCCTACACGGCTAACCTGGCTGCCTTCCTGACGGTGGAGAGAATGGTCATACCTATAGAATCAGCAGAAGACCTGGCCGCGCAAACACAGATCCACTATGGCTGCCTCCAGGGAGGTACAACTATGACATTTTTCAAGGTATTACGAAAAAAATAATTTCATCTTCTGATACATTTAAAGACACACCAGTGTTTTAAGTTTAAACTTCTGTTTCAAGAATGGTTCTCACCTAGAGCTTTCGACGAGTTACTCTGATCTTCCTCAATAGACTAACCCAGTGAGACTTGTCACATGGCTTCTCTGAAGAGTGACGTTATGACAATGAGTCAAAGATGCACCAGTATATATCCAGTTCGAAGAGAAGAAACATAGACATAGAGAGGTGGTTTCTAGTAAGGCATGCTGCACACAGGGTATTTTTTATATTCTATTATACGATATCATTGTTGTTGTTTGGATTCCCTGGTGAGATATGTGTCATTCTTGTATGTACTGTACACACGTTCATGTAATCTTATACAGTTTATGGTTTCAGATTCATTGGCATTTATATACTGTATACTATCGTCTTTATTCGGAAAAATGGTTTTCATCTCATTAAACTGGCGATTTGCCGTTCTTTAATATCCTAGCAGAACTCAAAGGTGCCGACCTACCAGAAGATGTGGGCGTTCATGAATACCGTCGAGCCGAGCCCGTTCACCAAAACCGTGGAAGAGGGGATCCTCAGAGTTCTGAACGGAAACTACGCCTTTCTCCTAGAGTCTACTATGAACGAGTACGTCAGAAGAAAATCCTGCAATCTGACCCAGATAGGTGGACCACTGGATTCAAAGGGATATGGAATAGGGACACCCAATGGTACGGCATAGTATATATATATATATATATATATAGCGTATTTCAAATATAACGCTGAAAGGATCACTTAAATGGCATTGGTTGTTCGTTTATTTTTACACACGACTTTTTGTGTTGTAAGTAAAGGATGCGTAACACCGGACTGTGAAGTTCAAGCCACTCTTGGATTGACCGTATTGTATACAGCACCGTGCAAATCTAGTTCTATGTCTGACTGGGTTAGGGCTAGGCTTAGGCACGGTTATCAAAATAATCTCTGCGTATCTAAGAACATATATTTGCCCCGGGCACGATTCTGAACACGCGTGCACTATTCAGAACCGCTCCGGGCACGGTTTTGCACGAAACGGATCCCGAATCTTATCAAGAAATACGGTGGGTACTTAAAAGCATGCTTCATATGCAGCAGTCGTCAAGGACGGGACCTCAAGTTTAACGTCCTATCCAAGAGGAAGCCCATTACTGAAGCTACTCATTTGCATGAGTATGGTAAAGAAATAGGTGTGAATCACCTCCCCCTATAGGATACGACACTGGGGCCCGCCAGGGATCCTGACTGAAGAATGCATGAATTATTCGATCTTTTTTTTCCAGGTTCACCGTTTACTGACGACATCTCGAACGCAATTCTGAGTCTCCAGGAGCAAGGCAGGTTGGAGGAACTGTACCGGAAATGGTGGAAAGGCAGCTGCCCTGCCGAGGAGAAAGATTGGTTTTTTAGCAGTCTCAAGTGGGATCAGGTAAATGCCTTCCTCTCGAAATTTTGCTGATTGGATCATTTCCAAATGGTAATGCCTTATAGGAAATCAATACGCATCTATCTGGGAGCGTCAGAAGAATTGCAGTTGAGATTTTAAGTCGACATGAGGCGCTATTGTGCTGTGGCCGTTACGACGTTTGAGATGGTCATACCGTTGCTTTGTCTGCATAGGTGGGGGGCATCTTCATAGTCCTGATGGTAGGCCTGGCGTTGTCCACAGTTATCGCAGTGCTCGAAGTCATCGTCAAATCAAAACAGGACGCTAAGAAATTTGGGGTAAGTAACATTGTTGTCTAATAACTTTCCAAATGCGAAATTCTGTGTCATCAAAGAATTTAAAAAAATCAAACTCTTTTTCTCTACTTCCTTGGGGAAGGTGATCGTATTATATATGTTGTTTGTACTTTTTTGGTTGGTGGCTATTTGTTATATTGTTTCTCTTTCTTTCCCTGTTTCTGTCTTCAAGCCTTTTAAACAGGCCAGTGATGCTATTCTGAAATCGTACTTGAAATTGGAGACCTGAATCTTCTATAGGTACTGCACATTTCTTTCAATGTTGAACTTTGTACTTTCTTCCTCATGCCGTTGTTTTCTTTGTTCTCTCTGTCTTCTGTTGATCCCACTGTATGGGTTATAAGATGTGATTTTCAAATTTATATTACATAATAGAAGGCCTGACTGATAGGTACGCACTACAATGCATTTACCAATGGTAGTAAATGTCATTTAGGTCGGCTTAAGTTCTTTTGTAACCGGTACCCTACTTTACAATGGTAGTAAATAAGTATTAAAGTTTCTGGAAGTTTCATTTACTAACATTGTTAGATTGGAATCGACGTTTATTCACTTGCATTGTTAAGTACTGAGTAAACAGTACCCGACTTAGATGACATTTACTACCATTGGTAAATCCAACTCTCCGTGCAGTGTACGTATTCATACACATGGGTCCCTCCTCTGAATACAGAGCACCAGGTGCCACGAACTAATGAAGGGTCTGCGGCTCGCTGTGAACTGCAAGAAGGGAGAGCCTCTCAGTAGATCCGGCAGTCTCCGCTGTAAGCCGCCCCCAGACCTCACACCATGCACCCACAACCTCGGCAGGCGGGCATCGTTCATCGTGCATTCTAACGGCAACGTCGTCAGCAAGAAAGAGTCAGTGCTCTAGACCTATTGTATTGAGTAATTCCTGCAACAGCCAATAGGGAAATGCTTGTATATTTTAACGAAGAGTGCTTGTGGTCCCTAGAATACACACAAGTTTAAATGATTCCTTTGCTGGCCATTTTAAATCGTTTGATTTTATGACAAAGTTGTATAAGATTTCGAACATAACAGTCGTGGGTCCTGGGTCGGTCCTTTGCGTTCATAGTTCATACAAGGGTTCTTGAAATCTTGCTCAGTCTGAATTCTGTCAAAAAATCTGAATCAACCCTTAGAATATCACAGTACAGTTTAACCAGAAACACTGGTATGAACGGGATAAATAGTAACAATAGCGAAAAGCGCTGACTCTGTCTTGTTGACGAAGACTTTCAAAAATGTTGTAATTTTTATCAACATTAAACAAGGAGGGATACTAAGCACTCTCTGTAGTAGTAGGGTTGACATTAAGAAGCAGGTTAAAACAATGCCTTTTATTGTAAAAAAAATAATCATCATTATAACCATGATGCTATTTGTGACTTTTTTTGGGTAATATAACGTATATTGTAAGGATGAAATTGTATACAGGAACTTCTGTGAATGCAGTTATTTTTGTAAATGGTTGCAAGTGATTAACAAATTTGTCACCAGTGACTACTAAGAGACATATCAACGTTACTGCAACCCAGTATGTTACTTCTTTTAATTGGCCACATATATTAAGTAAAGCAATGTGTAATAGTAGCGATTTTATATATTTTTTGTATTGTGCATCGTCCGTCCACCGATGGTTAGTCTTAGAAAATACCAGGGTATCTCGTTGTTTATATTTACTGAAGGCTAAGCTGTCAAATGATCCGCACACACAGAACTTGTAGTACATTTATTTAGCTGTATGTGCTTTGCTCTCCACTTACTTTTCCTCATATATTGTTGTCTTATGAGAGAATAACACTCGGTACGCTCGACCGTGTTGTTTACAAGTGTCTTAAACTGTAAATAAGTAAATATACGTCGAAGATACAGTGAGTAAGGTTCCCTGTATGTGCTCTTCTTTTCGTTGTGATAAGAATAAAGACTGAATATCTGGAACATGTACATCCAGCTTGATTTTGTTTAGTCCCAATGCTAACTATTGGTATTCTTACGACTGTGTGTGACTTAAAGTTTGAACAGCTGTCAAGTAAGTTATTGATGAAGGCCAGCTCAAAGGCTTTCAGGAAGTACCCCTTCCGGTGTTGTTACTGCTTCGTGATGAATGGCTACCTGAATAAGATATCCGCTAAAAGTATGGTTTTAGAGTTTTAAAGCAAAGGAAGGCCACAGCTTATCCAAATAATCCATCACTGTACATGCGGCTGCCCTATATATAATACACCTGTGCAATCAAAAAGTTCTCTTGTCAGGCGAGGTTTCCATTAGTACAGGAGGCTAATCTAATTAAATCAACGTCATGATACAGAGATATCGTTCACACATCCACGTGCTGGAGTGAGCCATCAACATGTCTTCACTTTGCAGCAGAAAATAAAGCTGTCGGCACATTCTGAAAAGACCGTAACACATTGCCATTGGTTGGTCGCTTTTTTCAGAACGAAGCAACAATCTGTAAACATTTCTATCTTTTTTCTTACCGACAGAGCCTAAAGATAAATGCATATCAAACTAGAAAGGTAACATAAGCAAAGCAAATGCATCATGTTTACATCCACATGGCCCATCTCAACAAAGTACTGCTTTGTTTACTCTTACTCAAACACATCCATACATATGGTGACCATGCAGCCCCTCTTGAACTCAGCTCTGCATGGCGCGTGCAACACCAGTTACCATGGTGACAGACGTCTAGTCCTGGTCAACGACCTTATGTGTTAAATTGGAGAAGAGGAAACTGCGCAAAAAACACTATGTTTTACTTAGGTAAATATAAATAGAGAAAGTTAGGTTTAGCTGTTGTAGTCAACAGTTAACGTTGTGGTGTCAAACTCCTACGGCGTGTAACCGATAGCGGCTGCACACGACTGCAGCTTTCACGGAATGCATCTCAATGATATCGTGACGAATATTCTTGGCGATAAGAATTCCAACTCAGTGAATCATCTCAGCAGCCCAGCTCCTTATCAAAGACACAGTCAGTTAGGTTACATGTAAAAGGAAGACCACAATTTAGAAGGCATGTAACGTTGATAAGATAACGCCCTAATGGAAGCTATAGGCTGGAAAGTAAAAAGGTATTTTGCGTACACATGACAGTGGGGGGGGGGGGAGAAAAGCAGTCCAAACGTTTCAGCTTCAAATTTTATTCACATTAAAAAGAGCATTTTTTTTACAAATATGATGATAATAAAATGTTTATTGAATTGTTTCCAACATATTGATTAGGGTGCAAAATACTCCGTGTGTGGTTAGTTCTTGGCTCTTGGTTTTCTCGTTGCGTTGTTTGATCTCCAAATTCTAGTAACATATCTTGTGTGCAGAAAGTAAATCTACTAAAATAGTCATGGTCAACAACACTCAATATGATTATTGTTCATCACCATCATTCATTATTAGGTAATAGTTACGACAGCAAATCATCTGCCCAAGCAAAATAATATGGTACTAGTTAAAATCATCTCTCATCACACAAATATGATGATAAATATAACGATATATGAATATAATTTGATACTTACACTCACAGTTTTCAAATCTATAGATTGCCAACCAGCAGCAACTTCACATTCCGTAATTTGACCTTTTTGTTACGCTGGCTGTTGTGCGAATGCAGTGCAAAACCAGCCTAATCTATCACAATATATCAAAATTCACACATACATTGTAGTAATTTTTAATACCGGTAAGACTTTCGAAGTGATGCTACTGGAACTAGAACAAAAAGATGTTAAGTGTTAGAGGAACAGGACAATGATTTAGATGTAGTTTGTCTGCAATGTTTACCTTCGGATTTATTGAAAGCATTATGAGAGAACAAAAGGACAGAAAAAGTTTGTAGTGATCAGTTTTAATTGGAACAGAACCTCGTTGTGTATTGAGAATTAACATGATCTCGGTTTAAAGATACATCGATAACGATTTAGAACTCTCTCAAACATCATTGCCGAAGAATATAAAACTTTTCTATTACATGTATACAATGGCCATGAAACTACTGCAAAAATGTGTTTAAAGAAAGAGTTAAGCCTTACATTTTCAAAATGAACAAGCCAGTCAAAAAACTAAATAGGACAAAGATAACGCCTAAATCATTTTGTACAGTTTTATTTCACGTTTAATGGTTTGACAGTCATTAATTTGACTAGTGACATTACTTTAATGTTGATTTAGTCAGTTGCATTTCAACATATCTTGTTTTTTTTCACATTACAAACAATCCTAGACTTTTACATATACTCGTAAATTCAAATTTAGCTTAAATATTAGGGAGTTTGGAAGATCCACAGATGTCCGAAAACGCTTGAGCTGCTGGTGACTAAAATCCGAACATTTAGCTGTGTCCTCCGCCATGTTGGTGTCCCAATGACGTCATGTGAAATGCGATAGATGTATACATGGCTGTGTACAAAATGTTACTTGACCATCATCATATACCATTTTACGTTTAAAAATAGGCAGACAATGTAAGTCATCTTTGGTTTGTTGTTTAATGGATCACGTTGAATGGAGAGTATGTAATTTTCTCCTGAGACTTGTGAGCTGAGCGGTGTTGGTTTTCGTTGATTATTATTGGGTCATAAGACTGGGTTACTACAGGTGATAAAGGCACGACCGTATCTGAAACTCATTATTATTGTCACTGATTAATTCTTCACTATTCCCGTCATTATTAACCTCAGACAGGAAACAATTTCCTCAGGGATCTGCATATTCTCTACGAACTCGGTCAGTTCTGATCCGGTCAAACTTTTCAAATTTCAAAAGCTCAACCTGGACCGTCGTTGGGAGGCTGTCTGAATATAGGTCTTCCTTGTGGACACCCGAGGTGGGCCTGCGCGTGCCTCCCACCATGATGTCTCTCCACTGCTGCTGCATTTGGTCACAAAGGCTGATCTGGTGGATAAAAACAGTACCTCTGTATGGCCATAAAAACGGAAAACAAAGTAATTCTGCTAGAATTATTGCAACTATAGGCTGTCTGCATGCGCCATTATAGCTGCCATGCAGGCTGCTTGAGGCAAGAAGGCTCAACTTTTATGACTACACGACTGCGAATTCATGTACAGGTTTGAATTTGCCTAGTAACCCATGGGTTTAACTGTCAAAATAACGCACATAACTTCCGTCACGGTCACTTGCAAACACCCTATGCTACTTTTAATGCAAAATAATGGCTATGTGTTCTGGTTTAACGTTTGTTCTCCCTGTAGTTATACATTACAAAATAAACAACAGAAAAAAGTCGACAACAGAAAGGAACAAATGAAACAAAAGTTGTTTGTGTCAGTAGCAGGTGTTGGCGATGTGTTATAGACAGGCTTAGTGCACAGATTTCTAAATGCTTAATAGTTTGTAAAGTTACAAAAGCCGGGCCAGTAAATTTTCCTGCTTTACCATTTTTATGTCGTCAGTTTACGTGGCAGCTAGAAGCTCAATCTTCTATATGCTAACTTTGAAATGAGCTCTAGTTCTAACTTGCTGCGATGTTAAACGGTTACGCAGAACAATGCCAAAGACGTGGTGAGGTAAGCAAAAGCGTGCTGCGTTTATTACATACTGTGTCAACATGAACAGCTGCATAAAATGTACAATGTTAACATGCTAATAAACATCTGCCATGTGATGAGTGGCTAGGCCTTATTGCCCAAACAGTAGTCATCGTAGTCGTTTTTCTGTGTCTTTAGACGAGGGATAATGTTAGTGTTGGTAGGCAAGACGAAGTTTGGTGAGGGTGCCATGCTGAGAGAACCCTTGAAGACATCCGAAAGGTTTTGCATGTGTTGCTAAGGGAGACACAGAAACAGACAAGACAGAGAGTTAGATGTTAGGAAAGGACAGAGACATAAACAATAGCAGAGAATAACGGGTTATGTATATTATACATTGGCTTATGTGTGATTGTTCTATAACCAGATGATTACGACTGTGCTTCTCCAGACTATAAGCAAAAAGCTGATAGTCTACTGTTAACCAAAATCAGGCATTTGTGTAAGGCATAAGCTGAGAGTGTCTCTATAGGTCACTACTTAATCACATGTAAATTAGCCAAAGATAATTCAGAGCATCGAGCATGAAATCGCATTTGTGTTTAGTAAACTACATTCAGTCGCCTGATTCAACATTCTCTACTGTGTTAGAAAAGATGTATAAAAACTACCTAATATACTAATTATTAAAAGTAGTCCATTTTCTTTAAATCATGACATGAGCAAGTACTTTACACGTACCTACACCAGAAAACTTTTACCTGTAACGCTCTTGGAAATTTAACTTTTATAATGAGATATGGATCAAACTCAAAACACCAGAAGTGGCAATGATCAGCAATGTAAATAAAAGTCCATATGCACTAAACACCTGGCACTGCAGTGCAAGTAGACATAAAAATACCTAAACTAACACTAATTAACCTGAATGTACAGGTTGTTTTTAAAGCTCTGTTAAGCAAAGACTGTTATCACGAACCTTGTCCCTTTCCTGAGTGGACCTGGATTTCCAGATGAACTCGATGATGGCCACGATTATGCCGACCACCAGACCGGCGATCAGCACGATGAAGATGCCGCCCACATTGGCCACGCCCAGGGCGCTGGCCTCTTTGTTCTTGTCCTCGTTGGAACACTGGCCCATGTTCACCCACCACTTGTTGTACAGCATCTGGATCTGACCTGCCTCTTGGAGCTGCAGGATGGCTATGGTGATTTTGTCTCGGATTGGCGAACCTGAAAAAAAAAAGAAAATGGTAAAGATTTTTTTACAAAACTCTGCAGCACACTACCGTAAATTGTAAAATCTAGCAATATAACGTTTTCCCTCACTTTTGATTTTAATGAGGCAGGTTCCGTCCATCATGTTGGTATTTTTGGATTGCATTTTGCGTGAAAAAGATTTCTCCTATTCTGATATTTTCGTCTTGTAGTTGACGTCTGGAAGGGTCGAAAGATTTATACATGTCTAATAGCTTGAAGTATGTTTCATTGAAATTCGAATTGCTGTAAAATTGGTGTGTTTCACTAGAATTCGGATTTGAGTGTTTCATTGAGGTTCAAATTGCTGTCAAATCGGTGTGTTTTATTTTAAATTCAAAATTTATTGAAATTCAAAATACTGTCCACGTGAAAACGCCGCATAACTACAGGGAAGGGCAACGAATACATTCAGCGCGTTGGTCTGAATACTAATGTGCCAAGTTACCTATATGCATTCTCACGAGAGTTTCAGGTCGCGTAAGGACATCTTTATATGAAATTTACATGATTTATGTACCGAATGGTCAGTTACATACGACAACATTGATTGCATTTGTCGTGTGGGGACTGCCGGAATCCACGGAGCCAAAGGACACTTCAACGAGCAACCAATAATCATAAACACATATTTACGTCCTAACAGGCACCTGCATGATTATTCTTTGTCCTAAAGGAAGAAGGGTGGCATATCATGGTTATGTTTAATGCATAACTTGATACAAACCCATAACACATATATAAGAGGCCACAGAAAGTAAGTTTTATGGATGACATCAGCACGCGCATTAAAAACAAGAAATTTTGTTGCCCTCTGACAGTTGCCAACATGCCGAAGATGGAAAAAATGTCTGTTGCAATGTAATAGTAATGTTGTGATAGTTGTCAGTAAACTTACCACAATATATTTATCATTTCTTGTTTAATAAAGTTTATGATGTCAAAATTTGAAAATGTAGGAATCTTGTTTTTTTTTTTTAGCCCGCCTTGTTTTTTTGCCCTATTAGATTTGGAGTCTGCGGAGGATGTCATCCATAAAATCTACTTGCTGTGGCCTTACTGCAGTCCAATCCCACGGGAAGTCTGCATGTATCACCTCTCCGACCTTCAGCATCACAGCAGGCCCTGGTAATCAGAGGGATGCTTGCGTTCACACCTCCCGCCCTCGTGGTGAGAAGAGCGCATTGATTTAAAGTCCTGCCAGACAAAGAGTCACCCTCACTTAATCCCTTCATCAATCCGCGGCCTTCCCATCTGAGCCACGCCGTTAAACACCTTACCCTCAGGAGTCCCGATGCCGTAACCCTTCGAGTCCAGCAGTCCTCCCACGCGGGTGAGGTTGCAGTTCCTGTGGGTGAAGTACTCGTTCATGGCGGACTCCAGCAGGAAGGCGTAGTTCTCGTTCAGCACCCGGTCGATCCCCTCCTCCGTAGATTTGGTGAACACCGACGGTTCCTGGGAGCTCATGAAGGCCCACATTTTCTCATACGTGGGGATTTTAGAATTCTGGATGGAATGATATGAAAAGATTTTTATGGCTTGCAAATTCTTGAAGGCTAATCATAAATTAAGAAAATATAGACACCAAAAAAATAGTACTTTTGGACATGTGGCTACTCAAGATTCAATCGCTGATATTCTACATCTATTCTTATGCAGCAAGTTTAAACTGTAATTTCCAGCACAAGAAATTGGACTCACCCAAATTTTACATCTATTCTTGTTGCACGAAGGACCCAATTAATTCCGTAATCGGTAGGTTTTATGGGATATAGTAGTTGATTTTATTGCAACTGAAAGCCACTGGTGTCTGTATTGTATATTTCCGTAAGACCGGAAGAGATCTTACAAAATCCGATTTTACCATATGTCGTTCTTGCATTCTTAGCCATGAAATCAAATTGTGGTTTTGTATACAATTAAGCCTGCGGCAGTATCTGCCGATGTGCAACGGTAGGTTTAACGGAAATCAATTTCCAAGTCCATGGCAGACACCGTGATTACAATCTAGCATCGAGATTAATGTTATAAGATTATAACCTGATGTAATATGTAATTTGGCATTTTATTTGCCATATGGTTTATTACTGACGGTGCTGAAGGTATAGATCCCATATTTCCAAACTTTAGGGCTTTATTTCATTTACTCCTTTGTAACAGAGTATGGAAAACGTTGCTCAATAGGCCGTCAACTCGTGTTTCAAGAGGGATTAAATTAGATACAGACAAGATGACGTCGCACTCAATTTGACAGAACTTATGTTAAGGGATTAAGTCGTGCTCAGTCGTCTTGAAAAGCAATCACCAAGTCAGATGAAAAAAAATCCCACCTTAAAGAATGTCTGGGTTGCCCCGAAATCCAAAGTCCCATACTTTATCCTCGTTTGCTTCGCTAAATCATCTGCTGACTCGATAGGTGACTCCATTCTCTCCACGGTGAGGAACGCCGCCAGGTTAGCGGTGTAGGAGGAGATCATAATCAGCGTGAAGAACCACCACGCTCCGCTTACAAGTCTCGTGGACAGCGCCCGCGGCATGATCTCCGAACCTTGCTGCATGAAGGCGCCGATAGAGAACCACATACTGTTCAGCAGGGTGAATTGGTTCTCGAGATACTCCGAGTTGGGGTTACACGGATGAGGATTGTACCACTCGTACGGGCTGAATCTGGCGAGAACGAAGAGGACCCCGCTCACGGCAAGGTACGACAGCAGGATATACAGCCAGATGTCGTAGGACAGCGGGTTGAGGAAGGAGAAGACCCCGGGGTTGGTTCTGTTCGGTACGCGGTACATTATGGTGACACCCACGTTCATGAACGGTTTGGAGAAGTCTATGACTTGTTCACGAATGAAGCTGATGGTCAGGGGAGCCACGGCCAGATCAGCACGCTGTGATGCAACAATTGGTTTAGAAATACTGTGTCATAATGAACGACGTCTATACAGAAACAGGCATAAAAATACTCATATACAATAATTATTAAAAAAGGTAGGATTTCATTCAATTTATGGCCTACGTCATGCCAAATGCAGTAGAACTATGTTAAAAACAATGGGAGTTTCTTATACACATTCAAGGATTCTTCCTACCTTGCTTACGTTTCGATATCTATCTTACGCCTTCCTCAGAGCCTCGGACTGTCCTGCTTGTCGGTACTATATGAAGCTCAGAGGAAGGTTTCTGATAGACATCGAAACGTAAGCAAGGTAGGAAGTACCCATGGTTTTGTAAAAAGGAAAAAGAAAACCACAAAATTCTATATGAAAAAAAAACGTTGTTTGTATGTTGTAGGGTCGTTGTAAGGGATGATGGTGATGTAATGTGTGGTTAGTTCTTGCAGTCCCAATAAAGTCCAAGTCAAAGTATCTGCACTGACCTGATCTATCAGCTCCTTCACCATGCCTGACCATTTCCCGTCCTCCATGGGTGCGCCATACTGCCCATCGGGCACGAGGTATATCTCGTACTTGAATCCAAGAATGGCGGCGATCTCGTTGAGTAAGTCGATACAAAACCCTTCGAATCTGTCGTTACCCAACAGCTCTTCGTCGGACCTCTTTTGCATGACGTAAGGTTTTTCCTGAACAACATATATTACTTTTGTATGAGTAAAGCATATGGACTGTGTGCATTTGGCATTTATTTGCAAATCTGCCAGCAAAACTGTGATTTATGCATATTAGATGGTATTTTAGGCTAAGAATGCTGCCATAAAGATAGAATTCATTAGAAAACTCATTATTGAAAATGTAGATCGGTAACTTATTGGTCCTTACCAAAATGGTGGTGACTATGAGTGTCTTGTTCCGTAGAGAATTGGTGACGTTTGAGCCTGACAACGACCTGTCGGTAATGTTCAGTGCCTGTCGCTCTCCTGAATTCCAAGTTCCAATCTAAGTAAAGAGATGAGCCGATGGGTATCGTAAAATAAGCTACATAAGAGGAGTCTTGACATAGCCTGGAGTCCAGCTGTGTTAGCTTTGGTCCGCTTCCCAAGATACCAGCAGCGGACCAAAGCTAACAAGATAAGGCTGGACTCCAGGCTAACCCTTGACACTAAGGGAAGACCATTATCATAATGTTGATCAACTACTAGTAGATAATTACAGCACAGAAGATTGAAATTTTATCTAGACTTATAACATTGATTGCAATAATGCATTGTACGTTTTCATTCTCTTGCTTTTCATTATTTATATCCTAGTTACAGTTGAAATATTTTAATGGCAGCTTCCACGCTTCGTGAAGAGGGTGTCTCGGAAGACAGTAAAGATGCACTTATGTCCACTTGTCCAGATGTAAATGTTGTAAACATGACAAAACACAAAGACATGTTTACAAACAAGAGACATTGCATCACGACTGCACATGTGCACTCTGAATTGTGAGGTGGCTTATTACGTACGTACAGCCCGGCAGCTGATAAGCAACATTAACTGATTGGCATTAATTAGTCTGTACCTTTGTCAGCCCAGCTTCCCTGAGTTCCATGACGTCCAGGCTAAACTTGGTTCTCTGTCCGTTACTGTCGAATTTAATCCGACCACTTAAGCCGTCTTGTAATTCCGCCTAGAAATACAAGTATATGTACATGGATTACAGGATGTCTTTCTTGCAAAATATTAATTTATCGCAAAACATTTTACTTCTCTATTTGTTTTTTTTTTGCGTTTGCTACGTTGTAACCTTTTCCTTGTAAGTAATTCATTACGTCAATAATATTCCTAGAAGAAAACCTAAATTAAGCTAACATGTTTTTGAAAAGCCCTACGTCTGCTTGTACATGGTAATACTCTTCGGAACAATTGTCTTGTCGTTGTAGACCCAACCAAAGTTAGAAGTGTACCAGTAGCGTCTAGAAAAACCCGATACTAGCTTGAGCACCAAAAAAAAAACTAAAACAAATGTACATGTAGTACTTACTACTTTCAGGTAGTTGAGCACAGTATGGCCGTAAAGCCAGGCTTTCCTGTTGTCGCACGATAACTTGCTCAGCGAGATCTCCTGACCAACGTCAGATCCCTCAAGTCCGGCCACGAGCACGTAGATAGCATCAAACATGAGAGCAACGGACGTCTGCGGAAATAGAACAGATTAAAGCAAATTGCAAAATCTGTATGAGACCAATCATGCATACAGCAACGAGGTAAGTAATCTTTTTCAAGGCTAAGTGAATCTGATAAAACTAGGGATCGCGTACTCAATTTCTTTCTCTTTTATTTCATGTTGACAATGCCATCTGGGTTATGAAGAAAAAAATATGAAGATAATAATGAAAATGCATATCGTGATGATGTTGTCATGGTCTGTCATTAACATTTACGAAGGTATTGTGAAATTCTTATTTATTATTTGACATTACGGTATATATATAGTGTAAGGTTTTTAATATAAAGACACGTCAGGCAGGCGTACCGTGAGGCCATCTTTAATGGTACCACTAATGACGTTAGAAGACTCTCGTACTCTCGTCCAATCACGAAGAACCTCCTGCACTCTCGGGTTATTGTTATCGACCAACCGGAACGCCGTCAGGTTGACGTCACCATGTCTATAGTTCTCCAGATCGATCGTGGCTAAATCCTGCGGAAAGATTAAAGGTAAATGGTGGGGTCGATAAGGATTAATCTTGATAGAATTCTATCCTAGGAGGAAATGCGTGACCAGCATTCAGTACACTAACGCCTCGGCGAAAATACAGAAGAGCTTGCCAGTGGGACTTTGAATTTTTTTGATTCCATATTTTTTTAATTAATAGCTATTCTTCCAGAGGTCCATCGAATAATACAAAAACATAACTTGTGAGACTTTATTTAGAATATACAACTCAGGGGCATCACCAGTCTGCCTGAACTTCTTGATGATAACAATATTTATTAAACAAAGGAATACAATTTGCAAAACTGTCGATCTCCAATTTTATTACTTGAGTATGTACAGTGGCTTTAGTATTATATAATAGCTAAATGCCATAAGCATAAATTCCATAACAAGTAGACAAGGAAACGATAGGACAGTTCATAAAAAGTTAGATTTCAGTAGGGTGTAATTTGTTTCGGTCACCTCTTTGACTTCAAGTTCATGCCCAATGTCATTGACCAATGTCAAATTAGAGCCACATGTAACCAGCATATGTAATCCTGTGCCTGATACTCCTATTTTGTTGAAGTAGAAGTTGCACTTTCGTGCTTTTATCTGAATTCATGGTTTATCGATTTCGATTACTGGTTGAGGAGCAGCCTGAATTGTTTGACGTTACATTTGATGGCTCGGTGATGACTTTGCAAGCCGTGCTCACAAGTTCACTGATACTATAATGTGCCTAAGAGATAGCAGGATAATGTAGATATAGATTTTTCAGCAACACAAATAGACACTAGTTACATCTAAGTACATTACAGCAACTGTAGAAGCGGAGTACAGAAAATCAATGCCCATTACAAGATTGGAATAGAGAAGCTACTTACCAAAGAGGTGACAATGTAGTGATAGAAATGCGTCATCATGCCGAGCTGTAGAGCCTGTGTAGAAGATAGTTAGGTAAATTGTAAGTCTCGCCAAAAAGATCAGCACTTCGGCACTGATAAAAGAGCTTTCAGCGTAAGATTAGGAAATGCCCCAATCGTGATGTGAAATTTGCCTTGACTGTGAAAGCATTTCGATAAGGTCTTACCATTAGATGGCAAACGATTTGGCGAGCGTGCCAGGGTATTCATCTCTGGAATTACGCTTTCAAACTGTCTCAAGTTCATGCAATTTAATGATATCTGTGCTATCTTGGGTCCACGCTTGAGGGGGGCATGCAATCAATTCTGGCTCAGCTGAGTCCCCTTTCACATAATGTTGATGTTATACAGTAATGTATTTGAAAGTAAATAAAAATAGCTAGCTAGCATGGCTGTTGAAGATCATTGCCAGTAGTTGGTTCTGGTATCTGGTACAGGTTGTTTGAATGTTCTACAAAATCAACGGCCAAAGACGAATATGATCTCGCCGTTATACAGTTGGAAAGCAAAATAACTGCACTGTGTACCTTGTGCAGAACCCTGGGTAGTTTCTCGTATGACACGTCGATGATGATGTTGTTGCTGCCGTCCAGTTTGCAGTCCTTGAGCACGCCTTCTCCGTCCTCCCGCCGTAACTTTCTAATCTTCAGCTCCATCTTGGTTCTCGCTGGAGCCTTCAGCAGCTCCTGTAGTCTTATCAGGGCTGCATCAACCACAGAATCATCCCGGCTATTCATTTTACTTACATGTTGGAGGATTCCTTCTATGTCAGGCAGCCGTGCTTGATAGACATTCGATTAAGTTCTGTGATACCTTACCAAGTCAGTTTCTGCTGGTTCGTGGCAAGTACCACTCATCATTTTGTCGACCTTTAACGTAGAATCATCAATATGTGCCAGGCCCGTGTTCAGGGTATATGAAGACAACTTTACTGATGGGAATTCAAGATCTAATCTACAGGGGCAATATAGAATATGTAATTCAACCGGCACATGGTAGATACTGAGATTACTACAGTACAGGTAGAGATTGCAATCAGAATCCTTCAGTAAAACCACATGCTCTACAATATGCACTATCAGTATGGAATGAGATTAAATGCATTAAATTTATGGTGCAATATATGGTGATGGAAATTAGAAATGTGGTGATTTCAGTTTCAGTTCATTGAGATACCCTTCAGCCCATTATGGGCTATTCTTCCAGGGTTCCAATACAAATACATGTAACATCACAATTACAGACACAATCCTACATATTTACACTTAACTTACAGCTTACAGCATGATTTAATGTGATTTAAAACGTACCGTCGTCGCTGTCGTAAAGAAGCGCGACTCTGGTCCAGCCGTAGTAGTTGACCATGTCGAGTATGGCCTGAGATAACATCAAGGCGTCTGGGTACAGGTTAACAGAATATCTGTCTTCTACCTGTAGAAAATCAAGAAAACACTGTTTTGAGACATGTACATTGTACAAACAAAGAGATTTAGGCTGGTCTGCCAATACTGTCATACAAGACACGACTTAGACGTTTATGTTTTGCCAGACGTTCATGATTATCTCGTGGAAACAACGTTAACAAGGAAGTAGCCTCCAAATTAGCACTATGGTCTTCATGCCAGCACATGGGAGTAGGAGGCCTAGCCTGGAAAACTGCCCTCACATGTACTTAGGCGTGCTAGACAGATGCACTGGCCTTCAGACTGAGGGCATAGAGACGGCTATGCAGACAGAGGAAGAGTGGCACTCGACATAAGTCAAGTAAATCCAGTCAAACATTGTTACCATGCATCCAATGTGAAAGAAGCACAAAGTGGTAGTAACTAAAAAAAGGTACTGCGGTATAACATATACACCCTTGATTTGTCAAAATTATGACTCGGGTTTTACATTACCTGGTCAGGGTTCCAGGTTGTCTGTATGTTGGGTACGGTGAGTGCGGTGCAGAGAGACTGGACAGTAGGTGATGATCTGGGCGATGAAGGCCCGACAATTGCTGCTACTCCTAGAGTCAACTGGAAGCAAGCTAAACAAGAAGAAGAGGCAAAAGACGTTTTAGAGAACTTACTTCCTTAAAACCTTTTAATGCCGGTTAAAATTTACTTTCCATACTCTTTTGTCAATGCACAGGTGTAGTGGTAATCCATGCTGATCTGTAGTGAGGGTGTCTTGCACGGCTAGTTAGTACTCTAACTGGTGAGCACCTTCCTCATATTTTTTGCGCAAGATAAATTCAGGGGGTTACCATTAAAGTTCGTCTGCCAGATGGTAGTAGTCATTAGAAGTATCTACTGAGGAAGACCAGAGTGACTGGACGAAAGCTCTAGATGAGAGAACTTTTTGTGTTGGATCAAATTTTTTTAAACTCTAAACATCGTAGTAAAATGTTGAACTCTATTCCAAAACAAGGTTGTGATCGTTTGAAGTGATTGGTCATTCATTATCCTAATAAAGGCGACAGTGGTCGTTGAAAATTTGATCTCTGTGAAACCTTGTGTTGGAATAAACTTCAACATTTTACTAAAATTTAGGGGGTTGTTTAAAGATCTACGTCCATGGGGTACGACACATCATAAAGAACATACCTGCTCTGGAGGCCTCGTAGCTGTCGTTGACTTTGATCTGCTGAATGTCAGAGATCAGGGTTGACCCTGCCAGGAGGGTCGCGTTTTTGTTGATTTCGTTCATGGCGAACTTGAATGCCACCTCCTCATCAGTGAACGGCATTTGCTTGTTGAACAGGCCACCTGAAGTATGAAAAATCATGATAATATACCCTCTCCTTCATAATGAGTTATCCCATTCGGAAGGTTACAACAAATGATATCGATAGGTGTAGTTTATTTCAAAAAGCTGCTATGGGGCCCCGAACAGATTCTAAACGTTACATCAATATCCAGGTAATGTTAAGAATTAGCATACTCTCGCCATCAATGCATGAAAACTAGTGTTTACTTCAGGAAAACTTCATGTATCGTTCTTACAAAAAAGATCACGGTAGCCAACATTTAAATTTTCTGTCCTTTGAGCAAATAGAAAATCCATTTATTATGACTCCATAGCACCGTTACCATAATGGGACCAAATAAGACTGAACTATGGTGACCCAAATCACTTTGTGATAAATTCAATATTCCAACACCTGTTACTACTTCAATCCAATTGAAACTGCTGTGGCTGTACCTTAGGTCGCATGATAATTTGAACACAGCAATGCCCTACTTTATACAGTTAACGTCATTTATAGAACACCATATGGGCGTCTATATGTTGAGGCTCATTGCGTTTTACGCATTCAATTTCTCGCTTGCAATAGACAAATATCCTCTACTATATTGCTTTGATTGAGAGTTTGAAAGGCAGAATTACTAATCAGTTTCCAATTCTTCTGTCTAAAGCCCCTGTCACACATTCACGAATATGGCCCCCCCGAACACTAGTCAAACGCCCCCAACCATGGTTAGGAGTAAGTCGGAGCAAACTTTAAGTCGGCTGGTGTTCGGTGAGGTCGGCTACTAATCGGCAGCGGCAGCCGAATGTTTCAAAATGTTTTTAAAAATCGGAGTTTGGTCGGGAGGTTCGGCCATGGTTGGCTGGTATTTGGCTGATGTTCGGGAGCAGGTCGGGGAGTAGTTGGCAGTGTCATTTGTCTAAAATTTATCTCAAATTCGATTTGATTCGTATTGGAAGGTACTGAATGATACTTAGTGTTAACTTTAAAAAAATTTAAAAAATTTTTGAAAGATGAAAATATGTACGTTAAGTAAATATTGTACACCTCACTTCGATTCTAAAAGGCAAGGCATCCGAAGATTTTATCAGTTTGGGTAGGGTTTCAAAATACTTTGCCAAACACATAGTCATTCGTAATATTGCTGTTTCAGGGTTTCATCTAGTAAAAGCTGTTTACATTCCTATTTCCATACCGGCACATACTGCTAAACACGGGGAAGTAAGTTATCTTAGAATCACCAAACAGACTCATGTGGTCTAAAGTTTCAACGTCATTTGTTTAAGTAGCAGTATACTCTAAGGGCACAATGCTCCGAACACGAAACGTTAACACGAAAATAGATAAAGATTACATTTTACTCTTACAACGTAACACTGTTATCCTTTTGCTAGTGTTTTATTGTCGAAGCATAAATTTCAAAATAGTCTTTATTACCTATTTCTCTTAATTGTGTATGAATTTTTTCCTTATACTAGTGCATTCATAGAGAAAAATGTATGGTGTGGAGTTTCAAAATATAATCCTGTGTTGCACCGAGTTTCGCATTGTTCACACGTATGCCAGTTAATGGTATCGCCATCAACTAGCTGATGTCAAGCACATCAAAACGCACTTTGCAATTAAGGACCAAGCGGAATGCACGGAGGTGATCCCATTGCACATTTGGAGGCGGTCTCCTGTGGAGCATAATCTGACGCCATTTTCTTCACGGCTGCTGAGTTGGTACTGTGAAGGCGTCAGCTTCCATTTATCACACAGCGTGCGCTGTCACCAGACGTCTAACTCTGACACCTCTAACTGTGAACCAACCCACGCAGCGGTACATTATACAACATCATCGCCACAAGAGGAATGATGCAGACAATACACGGCATAATTGGGACCCTTCCTTTTGGGCAATATGATCCGCAGTGCAAACTAGAAAATGATAGAGTAGCAATTTTTTAGATTAATACATCTTGGAAAGTTAAAAAAAGCTACCTGTAGTACAGGGGGAATGTTTGATCGTTTATGATACAAGAAATTGTAACCATATGCCAGGTTTGAAATATTACATATTCATTCCTTTGCGTCTCTTGAATTAGGCGTCATATATAAAAAAAACATTGACTTTTGAGTATTTTTAAGAATTAAAAAAAAGGACAAGGTCATCTAATTGACATATAAATCATGATAATAGTTAATTTCGTAACTAAAATTCCTGGTTCAATATTTTGGGCAGCTAAGAAACTATTCTTTTATTTGCTATGCTTACCAGAAGAAACGTTGAGAGGTTTAAAAATAGTTTGAAATTCCTGTCAACATGTAGTAACAGATCATGTGCTGTGCTAATGTATAACCCGGACTGAACTGATCTTGGCTATGACCGTCGGCAAGCTGCAAAAAAATTGATCTGCAGTCGGGTATTGAGTCCCCGATCCTACTCCGTTACAAGTTGGTGCTTCATGCTTGCTTTGTGTATCGACCGGAGCTGTCTGCCCTGTAGAGTTCAGTCAAATCCAATCGAAGACGAAAACGTCTGGCAGACCGACCCCATGGCACAACGGCGGCCGTCAAACACACTGTCTGTCTCTTTCAATATCGTCTATATCGTTTGTATCAGCATTTTTCCTTTTAAAGGGCGGCAAAACTGGAAGTATACTCTGATAAGGGCAATCTGTAAGATATTAACACATACTGTCCCACATTAACACATTTGAATCAGTATTTCAGGCGTTTAAAACAAGCCCCAAGATTAGTCCTTTATTTTCTGGGTGATACCCTTAAATTCAACCCAGGTCCTTCGAGTAACCGTTTTCCGTCAGAATTTTGGGCACTTTTGCTCCATGAATGTCGATATACAATGGGATAGTGTTGTTTCAACTTTAGTATGTAGATAAGTGTAGAATATTGACTTTACAAAAATTCTGGTTTCCGAACCCTAAAAACTGCACTGGAAATTGCCTTTAAGTAGGTTTATCTTTTCTAATTCTATGAAAAGTTTTCATTCAAATCATATTACGCCTAGTTTATATTTATTGTTGGTAGTCAACCAAGCGTAGATACACAAGTGCCTTGCAATTCTAATTATATATATTAACATCTGCGTCGACGTCTTCAAACCCTGTGTTATATTGCATATCGCAGGTGGTTGGTGCCTTCGTGCAATCAAGTAAGAGGATAGCTAACATGCATGAATCCCGAAATAAAAGACTTGAACCTATCCAATTTCTATTGCCATTAACCTTGACCTGTGCATTTCACCCTTCACGGTCCAGACCTGTCTTACTTAATCTCTTCTCATCGGATTCTGGCCTTCGTGAAAACAGATAATTGACCTTTCACCCTGGTGTAATGAGTACGCGTGTGTTGCGTGTGCAAGGCGCTCCCAATCAAAGACCCAGAGACGTGCGGCGTGCGTCTTGGAGCAAACTTCAAGATAACAACAAGGAGTTAATTTTTCAGGGCGTCCGAGGAGATTTGCCAGCTGCCCTCATTGAGCACAACAAAGTCGACAGCCTTTTTATTTATTCATTTATTTCATCTCAGGACGGCCGTTTGGCCCCATTCAGCCTACAATGGCTGTTTTTCAAGGGGGACCAACAGGTTAGACAAGGTATTCTTACATACAGTAAAACTAAGGAAGACAACATACAGTAAACATAAAAACATAAGAGTCCAAATACGTTTTCATATTCAAGATAATCCATTTACCAGAGGAAATACAACACAAACTCAATTTCTATTGTCATTTTCTGCTGTAAATTCATAAAATTCAATTCATTAGAGAAATCATGTTAGTAAGGAAGAACATAGCTCATACAGTAAATCTTATCTGAAAAATGCGGCTAAGGAAAACACCGTGATAACAGTTCGTGGCTTACGTCTGATCTCACTAAACAACCACGTCAACTCAAGGCCGCCATGGCAGGAAGTTAGTATTAACAGCTTCCCAAAATTACGGCTGTTACGTTTTCTTCTTTTTTTTTCAGAAATTTAAGACTATATTTGAAACCATGGTCAAATGCTTTTGTCAGGATTTATTGAAAATTAGCATATATTATATATGAGAAAGGTTCTAATGTTAACGTTTGTGTATTCCTAATAGCCTTCTCAATGATTTCAAGGGATTACTTGTGTAAAGTTTGGCCTTTGTAAATTCGTATCAGGAAACAACTCAGCTCTTGATTATTTCTCTTCTAAGCACCCTTACTTGGCATGACATAATTTCCGGAGACCCCATTGAGAAAATTACTCTCTCTCTTCTTGACCTAAATAATTATCTTCCCTTTATCCGCTCTCCAGCTGATACCATTCAGATATGTTCTCTGAGTGACAGCTGGGCACACAGCATGAAAGAAAATTGCCTCCTGTTTGTTTTCTGTTTTCAATTGCTTCTAACAGTTTTCAATCTGGAAAGAAAATTGCCAGGAGCCTTTGAGGTCCACCCCCGCAAACTTGAAAAAGAATAGCAATCTGGCAGAGGGGAAACGAAAATGAATTATGCAGAATGTAATAAAAACAGAAAACCTGCATATAAGAAAGCGTACCCCAGACTTTGTGTAGTTTCACAACAGAATGAAAACTGATTCAAAACAGACTTGCCATTAATTTTGATTTTACTATATAGTGATGGAATCGCAGGAAGGCTTTGACATCAAATAAGGGGTCTGGGATTAACTTTTCATAATCAGCTCTGAGAGACTGGTATAATTGCAAAATTTTGAAAACATAAACACCAAGAAAGTTGCAACCAAAATAAGTAAATGTTGTTCAGTTTTTACTTTCTTAGGGATGTTTTGTATAATTTTTCAATACCAAAAAAAGTTGATATTATTAACGTAATTCATATTGTGCCAGGATACTAAAACTGGATATTCAAATGATAATTTTCCACTCATTAATAAAGAATCATTGACAACAATCTGTCTTTATGAGAAAAAGAATTCAAGCTGGATCGTCTTATTACTTACTGTGAACAAAGAAAAGCGTGAAAGCGTGACCGTCCTTACAATGACCTCTCTTAATCTTCAAGGACAATTAAATAAGTCACTGTAGCCCAGGGAGCTCTTAACAACCTTCTTACACACAAATCGATCATTACCACTCCTTCAAAACGGTTGCTAAAATACTGTAACTTTTCGTGTTTACAATGGAAAAAAAGAGTCACTATTTTGGATTTTCGATGTGTAACGATTTTTGTCTATATGCCGCCATTTCCAATCATACATTAATCAGTATCGAATTATCTATAGCGTAACTAATCCTATGATTACCTGTTAATTTTGAATTCGATAAGATTTAAATTAAAGTCCAAATAGGAGCTTTTTCAAAATAAGACAATTATCGATATCAGAAAACGGATATGCCGATAAGAATTATGATTAGTATTCATGTATCAACATTTTATCTATAGTTGCAACTCCTTTTATTTCGTATTCTTTAATCTTTTTACTTCTCTATCATTTCCAAGTCTTCCCCTGACTTCAAAAGGCACTGTTGCGTACTGAGCTTAACTCCCACGAGATGCGTTATAGATTAAATTTACCGTCTTTGATATAAGGTGAAGCGATGCTGAAAGTAGAAGAATTACTGGAGGCTGTGTAGTGCCTCGGGCAGGGAGACTTTAAAGCGGCCGCCAGCCTTTGCACAATACATATTACATGTGGAAAACCACTTTGTATGGCCTTGGGAAGATAGGAAGAGACCTTTGAAGGCTTTTCTGTAAGCCTTCGATGGCCGTGGAACGTCTATGGTTTATGTATGCGTGTTATGAGGTAAAAGAAATAGCTGTTTCGTTCATCAAAACTCTAGCTTATTAAAGTAGAAGTAATGCATATTAGGAATTACGAAGCATCTTGCAAGACAGTAGAAATGGCCCAATTAATAATAGCCTAAAACTTATCTATTTTACTTCTTATAAGAAAATGTTCTCAAATGAGTCATTATTCTTAATCTGAACGGCGCAATATTTGCAACAATCAGTGTAGTATCAAATAGCATCTTACAGATACAGTTTGTCAGTTTGCAAGGCAATAGAAATTACCCAATTAATAATACGTGCCGAGTAATAAGCAAAGCCTGGAAAACATATCCATTTTACTTATGATAAGGACATTTTCTTAAGTTAGTCATTAATCTAAATCTGAACACGCAATGTTTGCAACAATTGTTGTAATATCAAATAATTGCACTAAATTTAGGAGTAGTACACAAGATGAGAAATATAAAACAATGCTGATTCAATAGATTCGTAACTTACCTATTCTTATGGTGTCGGGAAGGCCCACACATATTGTAAGGCAAACGTGAAGAAGAAGTGCTGTCTCAAAAAGCTTCATTTTCGTGAATATCGTTGACTGTGATAGAATCTTCCAGAAACTTCAGTGCTGGGTGGCCTCAACAGTAGAGCATGTAGACAGCGGTGCTACCTCGTGGTTCTGTTGTAGAACACCCGGAGTCCTCTCCACGGCCCGTCCGCCATCTTGGAAATGACGACACGAAGGTCAAGACTAAGAGTTCCCCTGCTGAATCCTGGGGGAGAAGAAAAAAACTGCGTCAGATTTTTTAGGCTTGAGTTGCTGAAAGCGCGCCACTCTGCAAAAGCGGACGACAGGACGTTGTTGACGTTTTGGCAGTACGTGTGAGTTACAAAACGGGTCAGGAATGTTGAACATAAACAGACTAAGCTGATAATACTAAACTATGACCATGTTTGACCTACCCAAGATAAGCGTTTTACCACTGACATTTTCACCGATGTAGGAAGGCAAAGACCCAGACTCAGAAAGCCCATTTCGAGCGGCACGTTGGTTTCTGAGTAATCCTGTGTTACTCCACTGTGGTTTGAACTCTACAACGGCAATGTCCGCTATCCATTTGTTAACATATAGTCATAACATATAGTCAATGCCGTTCCGTGTCAGTTCTTTCAAACGTGTACGTCAGTAGCATGATAGAAGAAAATAATCTCTACAGTCAGAAAAGCGACAAAAATATCTACACTTTTTTTAGTTTAAAATCAAAATTGTTTCAAATAACATAGAGTATCAGCACGTATACTAAGTACCTAATACCAGCTCAGAAATTAAAAGAACAAGAAATAGCCATGCCTTCAAGTATAGAGTTATCAACCAAGGATTGAGGTGTTCATTCTTTCCTAGAACTATCGCAGAGTGGAACTCACTGTCACCAAATACAGTAGGGGCATTATCATTAAACAATGTTTAGAGATAGATGTTCAAGGCTTATTGTAACAAGTCGTTAGGTGTGATGTAGCCTGCTGCCGCTTCGCCGCATGCCTGCGAAGCTGGTGTGTTACGCCGAAGGGCGGTTATACCAGCTATGCAGATACAGATACAGACAGATGCGTGTTTGAAATTCTCCAGTCTTGCGGTTACAGTGGGAAGACAGATTATTAAAGGGGGCGTTGCAGCACGGTCGAGTTATAGCGACGAGTCCTAACAGGAACATACGGGCCCGTGCCGCATGTGTGATCGGCATCAGTGATGAGTCACCCCGTACCCCCAAGTGAAACAAATGGATATTCTTAAAAACGCCCTCTGTTTATATCTCACTGATTACATTGTGTGCGGAATTATAACATGGACCATAGCGCAGCGGGGGAATGGAATTGGTAATAAAGCGATGTACATTACCTGGAACCCCGCCAAGTTACGCTGTTAAAACAAGAAGTTGAAGATGTCACATCTCCGCAAAGTATGAAGAGCTCAATTTTTGTAATTTTTTATTTTTATTTTTGTAAATTTAAAAAAATTCTAATTTTTAAAAATCTTTTAATTCATTGAAAACATTGAGAATTTATCGGTTACGGCTCTTTCCTCCCAAGCTGCAGGGCGACCTCTAATTCGACCTTATTTCTTACCAACCTCCAACTCGACCATTCTTTCAGTCTGCGGTTATAACATTTCCCCAAAGATTCAAAGATTTTAAGAATATTGCTACAGGTCCATTGTTTTTAACCCTCAACAGTACACCTTCCCGGACTGATTAATCTGTACACCTGGGGTCCGCGCGGACCCCAGAACAGTTTTTTGCTAATTTGTAGAAATTATCAACATGCTACCAGCTCAATTGTTTTGCAAACTGATGTGGGAACCACTGTGTCCACATTACATACAAAAATCATACATTTTGAACTTTTTCTATTTTTTGGTGAAGAAAAGAAGACAAGAAGAAATACCCGATTTTTAAACCCATTTCAGACTGAAGGGGCTTTTGAGGCCCAACTTTGATCTCAGATAGCGGCTAAACGGCTTGCGCTAGAAGTATCAAATTTGGAGACCTTTCCTAAAATGTCTCTGGGAAAAAGTTCATATTAGTTTAATACTAGTAAGTTGATGTTTTTTTGTGTTGCCATGGCAACGGGTTTCTAGCAGGCAGTTTTTTTGAAAATAGAAGTAATTTTGGTTTAAACATAAAAATTTTCTGAGTTTTATATTAAATTACACTTCTTTTCCAACATTAATAACATCTTACATAATTAAATATAAGTTAAATCATTTAATATGCATAGAATATGCTAATTTGATGACGTCATTGGTCAAAATCCAATATGGCGGACTATATTATTAGCTCTGACGTCATATGACG